GGAGGGAACAAAACAAGGGAAGCCTCCCTTATACAAAGCCTTTTACATCTGCCATCTTGTCAGATGCTCCCACAGATTTAGGGCACAAAGGGAGCGAACTCGGAGTAGTAGAATTGGCCCAAAGAGATGACCTGCCTAAGATCACACTGACTCCCAGGGCACCAAGCTGCCAAGTGACACTCTTCCTCTGCCCCCGCCTCTGACCTGTTGCCCAGCTGGTAGGTGAGCAGGAGTGGGGAGCTCAGCCTTGGCCCCACAAGTCACCATCTGGAGCCAAGGTTAGAGCCAAACCTCACATTCAATGAAATTGCAACCTGGGCTAACCATTGGGCCGCTCTGCCTGTGCCTGTAGGGTCCACAGGGGCCATTCCCCATTTCCTCCCAAACCGAACTCCCTGAAACAGCACCACCCTGTCCCCATTCCCCTGCCCACAGCAGCAGCCCCCCAAGTGGCCTCCTCCTCCTCAGTCCCACCCCACTCCTTCCTTGGCCCAGGAACCTTTTCCTTATCTGCCCTCCAATACTACAGCTAGAACCTGTAGCCAACATTTTGCAGGTCATGCCAGAGCTGGCTGCCCCCACGATCCCCAGAGTCTGGCAGCCAGTCCGGACCAGCCTGCCTGCCCCTTTCTACAATGGCCCCTGTGTAGGGTGACTGTCCTGCTTGGCTTCAGGCTGGCATCACCATCCTCCTCTTCTTCCTTCCTTCTCCTCTACAACTTCCTCCCTGAGGTTCAATTCCTCACCCTCCTGACATCACAATCATCTTAATTAGAGAAAAAAAAAACCAAGCTTTCCCTGAGACACTACTAGGGATTCTCTGCTGACGTAATAGGTCAGCTAGCCCCCTGGCCTGCTCCCTGGAGCAATTAATTCCACATGGCCAAGCCTGCCTGGGCTAGCCCCTACAGGACAGACCAGGGTCACAGAATTCAGGACAGCCCTCAGGAGAGCATTCGTTTTAACAAGCTTTTAGAAGTGAGGAAGCTGAGGACCAGAGGCAAATGCTTCTTCAGCTACATCTTAACTGCCTTCCAGCCAACAAAAAGTGGGAACGAGTTCTAGTAGGGAGCTGTCTCAAGTCTGGATTTCACCAGCATGGACAGTTACCAACTCCCAGAGTTCCTGCTTCCTTCTTATGGCCCAACACCCAGAGAAGGCCTCACCACTGTCATCATCTGCTTGGCTTCCAGACCCTGGCTGGGCCCTTGGGCTGCTGATGGAAATCTTGTTTGTGTTCTGAGAGTGCAGCCTTCTCCTGGTGCCCTCAGGTGCCTGCAGGCAAAGGCAGAGCATTGGGGTTCATTCTGGCCCAGGCCCTGATCCTCCTACCTCCTGGGTGTGGAGCTCCCTTGCCCATGAGACAGCATGGTTCCCACACTTATTTTGCCTACTGCCCCCTTTGCAGTACTCCCCTGGAAATCTAACTTCTTTAACTCTTTAATTTTTTTTTAAATTTGCATCATTTCAAACTACTACCATTCCCCTGGATCATCCCAGCACCTTCCCGGGGTGGTATTGCCCACTTTGGGAACCTATGGCTTGATGAACAGAGGCCCTGATCCAGGACACTGCAAGGTAGGAAAAGATTGGTTCATTTCAAGGAATGACTTTGGAGGTAGAGGCCGCCTCTAGTGGCTACGACAGAGTCCAAGAGCACGTGGCCAGAGGCCCTTCTGTCGCCTGCTCTCCCAACTGGGGCCTAGGCCCCTCTCCCCAGAGCCCTGCCTACCTCCTGCTCAGTTTCTCTTGCACACTTCACCTCCTCTTCAGAGCTGAAAGGAAACAGAGAAAGCTTGATGAACAGCCCAGCCCCTAAACACCAGGAGGAGTGGACTCTGGGGGCCACATCTCCTCATCACCAGGAAGCTCCATTCTCTTGACCCAGGCAGAGCAACCCGCCCCATCACCAATAACCTGGGTTCAGGAAAAACTGGCAGGTGCAAGGGGCAGGGGAGGATTCTTACACAAAGGCATGGGGAAGGGAGCGGCAAAGGGGCTGGCTGGCTAAACTGGGAGGAAGGTGTAGAAAGCCTGCCAAGAGGGCACAAAGCCAGATGGTACTGGGCTTTAAAGGACAAATTGGAGTTCGTATCTGATCCCAGAGGCAGGGAGCCTTGGAAACAGAGGGCTGATGGTCAGATCTGGTGGTTCTAAGAAAGGCAGAGAGCTCAAGGAGGAGGCCACTGTAATGGCAAGGGAAGGAGGCTGCACATGGAGGGGTGGCACCACCAGCCTCCCTGGGAGGGCAGATCTGACCACCAGCACACAGGGGTGGTGGGGGGGCAGCCTTCTGACAGTCACCACCCTCCCAGGGCAGGCTCTTGGCCTTTCATGCTGAGCACTGCCACAAACTGGCCACATGCCTTTCTCTCTTTGAGCCTCAGTTTCCTTTTTCTAAAATGAAGGGGTTCGGAGGATCACAGCCTTTGAGCCAAGGCCATGAGTCCAACCCTCGCCTTTTAGAGATGAGGAAATTGAGGTCTAGAGAAGCCATGTGACTCAGGTGAGGTCAGAAGCAGAGCTACCAACACCACCCCCAAGGCCAGCTCTGACCCCAGAGCCCGGGCCCCTTCCACTGAACCAGTCAGATTCTTCCCCACTCCAACCTCCTACAAATCTATGATTAGAGACCTGGGGCTCGAGGAAGGCTTTGCTACCACAGGTGTCTCTGGGCCACCTCCTCCACCCCTGAAGGACACAGTGACGGGGCCAGGATGCTTTTGGCAATGCTCAAGCCAAGCTCCCAGCAATAGTTGTCTTGCCCACCGCAGGCGAGTGGGGGTGCATTTCAGTGATGGAGGGAAGCCGTCCCCTCCGGGTGGCTTCAGAGGCCTCTGAGGCCAAGGGGCAATAAGCATCAGACTGTCACAGAAAAGCCGCCCACCTTCCTTCCCCTGGCTCCAGGGGACAGGTCTTCATTGGGCCTTCCATGTCACCATCCCCTTGCTCTCCTCTCCTCAACGTGGAATTCTGGGATTGCCAATTAAGCACCCATAAAGTGGTCAGGACCATGGAAGGGGGCATGATTCAGAGGAGGCCTAGCTGTGGGTGACAGTGGCCAGGTTGGGGGAGTGACCACAGGAGGCCCACCTGACCCCTAAGTGGCCCAAAGTGCATGCTCTTGGCCTCTGGTGGTGGGAAGCCAGGGTTATGGTGTAGTCTGCATGTGCCTGTGCCTGAAGAGGACCAGCTGAGCTCTGGCTTCCCCTTGAAGGGTCTGGAATCATTTGTGATGACACCTGTTTGTCCTCAGCCCCGGGGGCAACAGGAGGAGGAGTGATCCCTTGTCTGCACTGATCGCTGAGCACTCAGAGCATGGCTTGTGGACAAAGACATCTGTGTCTCACCTGGCTTTCCTGAATACTTCTACACCCAGGAGCCTCTCCAGGTAGCTGTGGCCTGAAAGGAAGAATCCAGGACAAAGAAGGCAGTCAGAGAACAGCAGCATGCCCTGGAAGGGCACTAGACTTGGGATCACTAAAGACCCGGGTTCAAATCCCCCACCTGACAAGAGTCATTTGACCCTGATCAAGTCACTCTATCCCCTCTGAACCTCAGTTTCCCTATCCGTAAGATGGGGATAATAATATCTGTAGTACCTACCCACAGGTGGTACTGGGAAGGTCAAATGAGATAATGTATAGAAAGCATCTCAAAGGTGTGACAAAAATGGTTTATTAATGATAATCACAAGTCAGATGGGAACCACTCAATTCTTTTCCCAGCATCTTCTACAGACTGGGACGGCAGGGATTCAGGAGACCTGTTCTTCTCAGGTTTCACTTCCCATTCTCCCTGCTAATCTTTTAAGTCCCCCTTGAGACCACATGGTCTTGTGGAGACAGTCCTGGTTTGGGAGTCGAGCTCCAGGACTGTTATGTACTGGCTGGGGAAATCTGGTCAAGCCCCCTCCTCTCTCTAGGCCTCAGCAACCCCGCCTGCAAAATGAAGGTGCTGGCCTAAGTCACTGGCTCAAGTCCTCATTGTGGGGGTCACAAACTAGATGGGGCCTACTCTCATAGACCTGCCAGCCTCACCAGTCAGGTCGTGGCAACTCCTCAACTCTATGAGCCAAGAAAAGGAAGAGAGCCGCCGACCAAGATGAGGCTAACGGTTCATTCTGGGCCTCTGCAACCATCACGTCACAGAGGCCAAAAGGCCCCAGGCACAGCTCCCTGTCCAAATGGGAGGAGTAGTCGACCTGATCTCAACATGAACAAGTGGGCCCAGAGCCTCCTACCAGCCTTTGGGAAGGAAGAGCCAGAGAGTCAGAGAGGAGGATGCAGGGAACTTTTCAAGCCTGGCTTTTCCTGAATTGTTGTAGTATCTGACCAAGCTCCCCCTGCAGCCTTGGCAACGAGAAGGAAGACACCTTGAAAGCCAAAAAGTAAAAAATGCAAGCCAAGAGGCAATCCCAGATTTGGAGCTGCCCCAAACTACTCTCCCTGCCTCCCCTTGGGATCACTGGGTCTGGACACAGCTGGGGCCTCCAAGGTATCTAGTCTTGCCTTCTCATTTTAGAGATGGGAAAACTAAGGCCCACAATGGAAAAGTGACATGGCCAAGGACACACAGGTAGGGATTTGCCAGCCCAGGCCTTCTTCTATTTTAGCTTGCTGCTTTTCCCAGATCACTGACCTATTAGCTAAGCTCCTGACTTCCAGAATCCCAAAGGGCCCTTAACTGGTGGGGACAAACTTGACACTCCCCGCCTCATCCCCAAGCCCTGCAGAGAGAGCTCCTTGTGCAGAAAGATGCTGTTCCTGGGACACTGAGCACTTGCCATCCGTTCCAAAGCCTGCACATGCAAAGGATTGGCTTGAGCTTCAGTCAGACTGCTTTTATCACCCCAGGGAGCTTTGGCTCTTTGGCCACATTTCCCTCACTTCTCCCCACTCGTCACTCTGGATCAGGGTCCTAGAACACCCGTCTCCCTAGTACTAATCAGGGTAGCTAGGTGTCACATAAAATGCTAGGCTTGGAGGCAGGAAGACTCCTCTTCCTGAGTTCAAATCTGGGCTCAGAAACTTACTAGCTGTGTGACCCTGGGCAAGTCACTTAACACCATTTCCCTCACTTTCCTCATTTGTAAAATAAGCTGGAAAAGGCAATGGCAAACCACTCCAGAAACTCTGCCAAGAAGACCCCAAATGGGGTCAGGGAGAGTGGGACACAACTGAATCGACTCAATAACGGCACCAATCTCTATGTCTGATACACTCCCCTTCCCTCTTTTCTCCTGCTAGCGCCAATGCCACAACTGCTCAAATAGGGAGTGCTTATCTACCTAGGAGGGGCCCGTCCCCTATCTCCAAGAGATTTCCAGGGGTCCCAAAACATGGGCCTCATGGCTGCCTCTGCACTGTAGTCTGGGATAAAAAGGCCCTTAGGTAACAGTCAGATTGACCAACACAGACCCTCTATGTCACTAAGGCCTCAGAACTACGTCAAAGTTACTCCTCTGTGGGCCTTTCTAAATCAACTTGGTTCTTAACACAGGACCTCAAAATCTCTTTACTGAAATGATAACCCAACTATCTCAGGCAGGTCATTAGTATCCAATGTCTAACAGCAGGCAGGGTAGTTCAGTGAAAGGCTACGAGCTGGAAGGAGTCAGGAGATGTCTGCTAGCTATCTGACATGCCTTGCAGGCCTCAGCCCCAATCTGTGTCACCTAAACTGCCTCCCACCCCATAGGGTTATCTACTCGTTCTCTCCGAAATCAAGGAGAGGGACCCCCTAGGCAGGCAGCCTGAGCACAATAGGTTCTCAGAGGATGCTGAAGGGAGTGGAGAGGACACTCTCCAGCAGGCGGGGAGGGTGCTCTATGGAGGATCCACAAGTCCTCTGCTCTCAGCCCTCCCTTTCACTACCAGGGGAGCTAAGAAGCCTGTCAATGCCCTGATCCTCACAACTCTATCAGGCAGGCACTGCTATTATTCTCATTTCACAGATGGGCAAACTGAGTCAAGAAAGGTGACTCTGCCCAGAGATGACCCAGGTGCTAAGGCCTCCCAGTTTAGGGCTCCATCCAGGACCCTGCAGGGCCAATGACAAATCCCTTGTTATTTAATCAGGCAGATTCTTGGGCACAAGGAATCATCCACAGCCTTTCCACCTTGGGAGACTGTACCAACCCCATTCTCTGCTAGGCCAGCCTTCCCAGGCCACATGGAGGACAGAGACCAGGAGCCAGAGGAGGCTCCAATCCCTGCTCTGGCCCTCCCAGAGTGACTTCTATCATCTGTCACAGTACGGAGGGGGCTCAGACACTCCTCCAAGTCTAGGGATGGGTGAGGGGCTCCCTTCCTTCCCACTTTCCTCTTCTAGGAACTCTTCTTCAATCCTGGAATCCCCTTCCCGTGCAGACATTCTAGGAACCTGAGTGCTTGGGGCACCCTCATCTCTGCTAAAACGAGGCAGAAGGCAGACAGACTGCGAGGGACAAAGGGCTTGAGCTTCAGCGCCCAGGAAATGCCAAACAACTTACAGGTGATGTAGCCTGTGACTGCTGGTTCCAGGGCCAGCTTCCTGGAGGACCGTCGAGCAGAGCTGATCTTCTTCGGGACCACGGAGTCCTTACGAATCAAGAAGGCCCTGTGGGCTTGTGAGAATTTGCGCACCAGGCTCCTACGCACCGAGCACCAGTCACAGCAGGGGCCTATCACGGTCTGAGGGCTTTCCAGCAAGTCCAAGAGGAGCTCAATCTCTGGCTGGGTCTGTGTTCCTGGTGAGGAGGGTGCCCTGCCCGGCTTGGTCATCACAGCCACTGGCTGGGCTATTTGGAGTTTGGCCACAGACCCCGCAGCTTGCACCTCAGGCACCTCAGTGGGCACCACCAAGAAGGTCCCAGGCGCTGGCTCAGGGAGGCTTTCTGCCTGCTGTTTGGACATCAATTCATCTTTGCAGCCCAAGCTGACGACAGCTGTCTTGGTCTTATTTGTCACCAGGTAATTCTCAGCACTCTGCTGCTTGCTGACGCTGATCTCTATAACAGGCACAAACCCATTCACTGCTGCCAGGTTGATAGGCTTTATGGGGAGCACCATGGGCGATTCAGGGGGCGAGGAGGCTGCTGCTGCTTGGGTTAGAGTCCGACGAGGGACGGAGCTATTGTCAGCTGCCACCAGAACCAGCTTCTCTGGCTTATCTTTGCTCTGAAGTAGCTGGTGGTTGTGTCAACGACTCCTTAGTCTCTCACAGTGGGACAACCTGCATGAGACGGAAAGCAGGGCCCTAGGCACCGCCAATCTAACACCATTTGGGAAGTCCCTATCATGTGCCATGCACTGTGCTAAGGTGCTACGGATACAAAGAAAGGCAAAAACACAATGCCTGCCCTCAAGGAACTTACAGTGGACAGAGCACTGAGCCTGGAGTCAGGAGGGCCTGAGTTCAAATCCAGCCACAGACACTTCCCAGCTGGGTGACCCTAGGCAAGTCACGTTACCTATTTAATTCAGTTTCCTCATCTATAAAAATGAAGATCTTGGACTCAAGGACCCCCAAGGTCCATTTCAGCTCCAAATCCATGGTCCTAGGCCCTCTTGAGGGACCACACACCAGCACCAAGATCATCCCCTGCCCTGCCCTTGCTTCTTCTCTGGGTCTCCTCTCCCCTCGACGTCTTGTACTTCATTCCATATTTCCCAAAGCACTGAGCACGGTGGTAAGCGCTCTACCCTTGTCACAGGACCACCATTTTAATGGACAAGACCTTGGAGGCCTTCTATTTACAAAGGCCTATGTAGATGTCACAGTTGAGGAGGGGCAGAGCCAGACACTGACACCAAACCCAGGCCTGCCTCTGCTGTCCTGCCCTGCCCACTTGGCCCTGGGGCCCAGCAGCCACCTACCTTTTCCTGGTTGGGGGCTTGTTCTTATCCTGCATGGAGGAAAACTATTTCTTTCTCCGGCGGTCCCTCTGAGATGGCGTTTTGGGCATCAGCTCAGGCTCCACACTGAAGTCACTGAGGGGCAAAGAGGAGAAAAGAAGAGTCACAGAACATCTAAACTGCTCACCTCCCCATCAATGGCCCCTTTGGCCTGGAAGAGCCCCTGGGCCTTCCTGCTCGTCAGAAAGGAGGACAAATCTCCTTCTCCTCCTGTGCTATCCCTATGGGCCAGCCTCACCTACTCACCAGGGGTTCTGAAAAGGCTAACCTTGTCTTTACAGCATTTGAGAAGGTTAGACCTGGACCCAATCCAGGGGATCCGTCTAGGCCAAATCCTTCACCTTAAAGATAAGAAAGTGAGGTCCAGGGAGGCCATTTGATTTGCTCAAGCTCTTTTGTCTGGGAGCCCAGGGCTCTATTCAGGCCCCCAACAGGTTGGAGCCTCAAAGTCTGTCTGGGACTTGGGACACATTTCCTCACAGATGCAGTCACACAGAGGACAACTAAGTGGCACAGGGTGCTGGACTCGGAGTCAAGAAGCCCTGAGTTAGAATCTCACCTTAGCCACTTAGCAGCTGTGTGACCCTGTAAAATGGGGATGATAACAGCTCCTACTCCCAGGGCTGTTCTAAGGATCAAAGGAGCTAACGTTTGTAAAGCATTCTGCTAACCTTGAAGCTCCAGATAATTGAGCTTTGGACACAGCTGGTTCCATGCTGTGCCCAGACCAGGCCACAAAGGTCCCTTTAACCTGAACGGTACTTAGTTCACCCTAAGATGCCTCATATAAGATGCCATATCTGGTAGAACCCTCATCCCCGTGGGAGAGCAAGGCCCCAATCTGGCAGCCTCCTCCCCTTCCATGCCAGCCTTGGCAGTAGGTCAGGGATCCCCACGGCCTACATTGAGGGAGGCTGCATGGTCTAGGGAAGACAGAGGCCCTGGGTTCAAATTTCACCTCTGATGTTTATGACTTGAGTGACCTTGGGCAAGTCTTTGGACCTCAGGATTCCCAACTGCACAACGAGGGGATTAGACTAGAGGGGCCCTGCTCAGCTTCCATCCTTACAGCTCTAGAGATCACTCCTCCTCACCTGGCACTCAAGGACAAAGAGGGCAGAACCCAAGGATGGGAGGTAGGGAGAAGCTAGAGAATGAGAAGAGGAAAAGGGAATGGGGGCTTGGAGAGAGGGAGGGCAGCAAGGAATTATGGAATCTGAGTGTCAGGAGAAGCATTAAAAGATCACCAGGGCACATGGAGGGGAAATGGAGGAGGAATGCCCTGGGGAAGCCAGTTTCTGACACTGATGGAGTACATGAAGGGCATGTCCAGAATGAGGGGAGGGAGGTGCTCAGGCCTGGTCAGATCCCTTTAGAAACAAGATCCACTTCACAGAGAAGAGAATGTCTTGTTCTCTGGGCTTTGTACAGTGCCTGGCACAGAGGGAGGGAGAGAGCGGGGAAGGAAGGAGGGAAGGAAGGGAAGAAAAGAAGAGAGGAGGAGAAAGGAAGGAAAACACCCCAAACTGGCAGAACATTGGCAGGTGTGGAATGGGCCACAGACAAACATGTTCCTCTTTCTCAGTTCCTCTGGCTCTGCCTTGCTACAGGAGTAAGGTTTCCCATAAGGCTCTCCCCTTTTTAAATGTGTATTTCTGCCAATGACCCTTTAGTTCAAAGTCAGGGTTTGCCTGGTGTCCTGTGCCCTGGGCTAATAGCCCCTTCCTGCTGCACCCACATGGGCCCTTCAGCCCTGGATTTACCTGGACAACACCTTTAGGGCCTCCTCCTTAGAAATGGAAAGAAGCCACCAAACTCCTCCTGAAAGAGATCCACAAAGGAAAACTCCTAAGAATATTGGAGCCAAATTCCAGAGTTCCCAGGTGAAGGAGAAAATATTACAAGCAGCCAGAAAGAAACAATTCAAGCACTGTGGAAACACAATCAGGATAACACAACATTTAGCAGCTTCTACATTAAGGGACTGCAGGGCTTGGAATATGATATACTGGAGGTCAAAGAAGCTGGGATTAAAACCAAGAATCATCTACCCAGAAAAACTGAGTATAAACCTTCAAGTTAAAAAATGGACATTCAATATGATAGAGAAATTTCAAACATTCTTGATGAAAAGACCAAAGCTGAATAGAAAATTTGACTTTTGAATATAAGACTCAAGAGAAGCATAAAAAGGTAAACAGGAAAGGGAAATCATAAGGGACTTAATAAGGTTAAATTGTTTCTATTCCTACATGGGAAGATGATATTTTTAACTCATAAAATCTTTCTCATATTAGGGTAGTTAGAAGGAGTACATATAGAGAGAGGGAACAGGTGTGAGTAGAAAATGAAGGGATATCTAAAAAAATAAAGGGGCGAGAGGAATGTACTGAGAGAAAGAGAAAGGGAGAGAGAAAATGGGGGGAAATTATCTCACAGAAAAGAGGCAAGAAAAAGCTTTTACAGTGGAGAGGGAAGGCAGCTAGGTGGCACAGTAGATAGAGTACCGGCCCTGAAGTCAGGAGGACCTCAGTTCAAATTCAGCCTTAGACCAAAACTTACTAGTTGTGTGACCCTGGGCAAGTCACTTAACCCCAACTGCCTAAAAAATAAACTAAAAATAACGTAAAAATACAGTGGAGAGGAAGGGAAGGGGAGTGAGTGAACTTTACTCTCATCGGAATTGGCTCAAAGAGGGAATAACATACACATTGGGCACAGAAATCTATCTTACCCTACAAGAAAGCAGAGGAAGGGAATAAGAGAAAGGGGTGGTGGTAGAAGGGAGGGTAGATTGGGGGAGAGGTTGCTCAGAAGCGAAATACTTTTGAAGAGGGACAGGGTGAAGGGAGAGAGAGAATAGAATAAATGGAGGGAAGGAAATACAGTTAGCAACAGTAACTATGAAAAGAAAATTTGAAGTTTCTCTGATAAAGGCCTCATTTCTCAAGCATATGGAGAACTGAGTCAAATTTATAAAAATAAGAGCCATTCTCCAACTGATAAATGATCAAAAGATATGATCAGTTTTCAGATGAAGTAATTAAAGCTATCTATAGCCATATGAAAAAATACTCTAACTCACTACTGATTGGAGAAATGCAAATGAACACAATTCTGAGGTACTACCTCATACTTATTAGATTGGCTAAAAGGACAGGTAAGGTAAATGACAGATTTGGAGGGGATGTGGGAAAAATGAGACATTAATGTACTGTTGGTAGAGTTGTGAACTGATTTAACCCTTCTGTAGAGCAATTTGGAACTATGCCCAAAGGGCTATAAAGTCATGTGTACCCTTTGACCTAGCAATATAACCACTAGGCCTGTATCCTAAGAGAGAGAAAAAACAAAAAAGAAAAGCACCTATAAGTACAAAAACATTTATAACAGCTCTTTTCTGGGGGTAAAGAATTAGAAGTTGAGGGGCCCATCAAGTGGGGAATGTGTCAGTTTGGTTTGCTTCTTCTTCTTCTTCTTCTTTTTTTTTTTTGCATAATACAGCTCACAGTTGGGGGTTTGGGATATGTGGGGTGGTGTTGTGTGACTGGTGCAAAAAAAACAATAAAACAAAGATTTCCTCTTTAATTAGTGGTTAGAAAAAAATTAGCGGTTACAAGAACACCCTCCCTCCACAAGGAAAGACTTTGCTTATCTAAGAAGTTTCATCCACTTTCTGAGGCTTCTCTCCCACTCCCTACACCCCTGCCCCGCCCCAATCAAAATGACCCCATGCTAAGGAAACCTTGGCTTAAGATCATAAAATAAGTTGTGGTCTTGCTTCTGAACCACTGTCAGCCAGCTTGCACTCCCTCAGGGGCAGAGGTGATGCCAGGTCCCCAACCACTGCTCTCCCTCCCAGTACAGAGCCTGATGAGGGATGGGTTTGGAACACTTTACCCAGGTACAACAGCAGCTGGCAAATATTCTAAAACTCTCTCTCTGACCCTAAACTTGCCACCTTCCCATGCAGAGCCCCCCTAACTGGAAGAGATGGGATGCAGGAATTGAGGCCACAGTGGTTTTCTCCGTTCAGTCAAGGTTCCCCACCACTCCAACGCCCCTCTCCTCCACACAGTATATTCTGTAACACATTTGGCCTCAGGCCAAAACCCCTAACAGTTATGAGCTCCTTGCCCCCCAAATAACGTCACCCACTAACCAGGCGTCTGATGGCACTCAAAGACAGACTGAGGGTTACGACCAAGCCTTGCCAGCAGGGTTAAGTAAAGGAGAGGGAGGAAGCAGCAATCAAGCAGACCCTTAACAAGAAACAAGAAGCATCTGAACTCATCTAGAGTAAGGTGGCTGCAGATGAGCACTGCTTTGCAGATGTGGCACAGAGAATCAAAGGATCTGGGTTAGAATTCCAGCTCCAACACATGCTGTGTGAACATGGGCCAATCACTGAACCTGAGATTAGAGGAAGGGCAGGTTGGTCTAGAAAACCTTTGAGGTCCTTGAAAGTGCTTAACCCAGGGTGTCTCTGTTTAGAAGCAAATACAGAGTGAACAAAGAAATAGAGAGCAATTTCCAGGAGACAGGTAGGTGATGTCCTTGTTTGGAACTCGTGCTTTCCGTCCATCCTGTGTGGCACGGTGGGAGGAGGGGGTCTTTGGACTCGGGGTCAGGAAGCCCTGGATTCAAATGTCACCTCCCTCACTAGCTGTGCGACCCTGGGCCAACTTCTCCGTGCCTCAGGTGTCCTCATGGGCAAAAGAAGGGCACTGAACTTGGCCTTTGGGGTCCCTTCCAGTCTTAAATCTGTGAAACCAGGACTACTACGCAGTTCTAAGTCAATGCAAGCACACGTCCTACAGCCTAAAGTGGCAGTAATAACAACAATACGTAACATTTTGTGCAGGAAAGGGATTCTTGCAGGGCCAGATTTCTGGGAGGTCTGTGACTTTGTGATTTTCTACTCTTTGATTTTTACATGTCTATGGAATCGGTCCTCTCCTATGCCTGTGCAGTTGGCTTTCTGCGTGTCAATCACCACGCTGAGAAAAGAGGTTCGCAGGCTTCCCCAGACTGCCCGAGAGA